CTATTGCTGTATTTTTTTTAACATTTTAACATTTCGCACGCGCTTCAGCAAGCAAATTACGTGCCACGACATTGCGAATCCATGCCGCCACCCGCCCTCACCTTGGAGGGGGCAGGCGATGTCTGTTGCTCTATGTGGGCGTATAGGCGTAAGGGCGTGGCTGCATGCCCAATGGCATTTTGACATTTTTGTTAATGGCATAAGCATCAAATTACACACGAAAGCCCCGTCGCCAGCCGCAGTTACAGCTGCAGCATATGTAGATAGAGGCACAGCAGCATCTTTAGCCATGGATACATCTTTGGCTACAGCTACGGCTGGAAGCCTTAGCTGCACGGCTACTGGCTGTAGCTACACTTGCCAAGTATACTGTTACCCGGCCTGCGGCTGGGCGGCCTGCGCGAAAAGGGGCAGCAAATCAGCAGCTAGTTTTTTGCCAAAAAAAGGGACAGAAAAAAGCTAAATATGTGCGCTGTTTTAAAGCTAAAAATAAATTCAATTTGTTGTTGTTTTTTTTTTAATTCTTGCTTGAAGCTTCATCGATCACACACAATTCATAAAAGTTTGTCAGCTTTTTTAATGCAGTTTCTATGCACTGTTTTACACAGCTGCAAACGGGCATATTGGCTCTGCTCTAATTTGATTTAATTTAGCTGAAAACTACAAAAGGGAACATTCAATTAGGCAGTTGAAAGTTAAATGATCCCTGCCCAAGTTGTCCAGTTCAAATCAAAACTCTTACAGAAATACTCCTTCCTTTCCTTTCAACTATTAATGTGTTCTTCGATATCTCACATAAACTCTCTTAACAGCTCAGCTAGATGAGCAAAGCTAAGTGGATGGAAATCTCAAAGTATTTTGTGTTCTGTTTGAAAGGCATGTAGAAAAGCCTAAGTAGACATGTTATCTAGATACTTTATGCATGGGAAATAAGCACATATAACTTATATAAGCTGTCTATGAACTGTATATCTGATATATCTGGCATTTCGTAATAAATTCCCTAAAGGAAAAATGCGCTTGGAGCAAACATCTCAGCCACGTTTTAGCTGAGTTGGCATCTCTGCTCTGGCTAGAGTCCACTACACACCTACACACACACACACATACACGGAAATGTTGCACTTTAATTTGTTGCCACAATGAAAAGCTGCACAAACAAGAAGCTCAATGGGGCACCGGGGCCATCAGCTTGGACCTGGCCCTGAAATGCGCCGTTTGTTGTCGCACAATATCAACACACACACACACACACACACGCACAGGCGGGCAGCTAACAAAAGCACACTTGTTAACTGTATTTGTGGCAGTCACCGTTACAGTCACTGTTCACACTACTCACAGTCACGCTTCCCAGTCACAGGCGAGCGACGGCAAATAGAAATGCACTTTACAGCATTTAATTGTTCACACACACACACACGCACACACACTTGAGCTGTGCTTACATCAGCGCATGAGCATGCAGCTAGGCAAACACACAGCACACACACTACACACACACACACACACACAATCTGCTCCACAATAGTCGCATCATTTATTTATATAGCAGATCTCATTTCGGTGCTCATTTCATTCGTTTCATTGCTGGGCAAGCGCCTCTGGCTCTTCCGCCTCTTCTTCTTCTTCTACTGCTGCTTCTTCTGTTCTGCTTCTTCATCTTCAGCTTTTGTCTGCTGCTGCGGCATTTTGCAGGTTCTTCAGGAAGCGCTTGACGCAGGCAACCAGAAAAATCAAGTTTTTTAGCTGTTGTATTACAGCCTTACAAATCTTACACTACACACACACACACATGTGTGTGTGGGCGTTGTATTGTACTATAAATAAATATTTAGCAAACAAGAATAAAAATATATTATGAAGTCATTCGAGATGCGCAGATTAGAAGCCACCGTTGAAATTAAAAATAGTTCAAGCCGTCGGGGACACACACACACATGCACACACACCCACACACACACACACACACAAATGTCCGCAGAAATAATCAAGAAAGGAAATTCAGCTCGCTGATTAAATGCCTTCGTAGACTTAGAACTCTTCAAATGAAAATCTTGGTTTACTAATCAGAATCTGTTCCTATACATGATATATATAGATATATATAGTAGCAGTAAAGCATATATAGAACTGCTTTTATTTTATTGCATTGTCAAAAGGCATTGCTTGTTAGGCTTCGCCTAGTTCAACTGCCAAAGAACCGAGAAATCTTTGATTTAGCACAATTCCCCCCTTGGATTCATATATTCATATATTCATATATACATTTTTTTCATGCAGTCAAAAGTGTATATGGGATTGCTACCTAGCTGTGCTTCCTTCCCTTCTAGACACTTCAGACACTTCCTCTCTCTTCGCATATCGAATATTTAGGCTAGAGAACTCTCGATTACATATATATTTGATATATATTTAGGCTCATTGAGAGCGTGACACATCGTAGACAGTAATACATTTGGAGAACCCCAAAAGTGCCAACTCTTAGCTGTCTTACGCCTCCATTGCTGATCCTTGCTCAGTTTCAGAGCAGTTAAATTCCTGTCGAGCTGAAGGACCGACGTTCTTACTCCTTTAGCACAGGTTTTCTTTAAGCTGTGACCCATGGAAAATGACAATTGATGAGTTTTAGTTTTGATACGTTAAGTATCGATATATATCGATTATAAAAAAACGCTATAAGCTAAGGTTGAGGAGGATGGGCTTGATTTAATTCTATGTATAAAAGGAATATGTAAATATATATATATATATATGCATATATATGTATATATAAATATAAAAAATGCACACAAAAATTGTGTTGCCATCCAGAGCATTGCCTGAAATTTTTGTTTGTTTAATTTGTAGTTGCTCGATGTACGGGCGTGTCTGTGTGTGTGTGCGTGTGTGTTTGTGTGTGTGTGTGTGACATCAGATAAAATTACGTAGACACAGCTACGCCTCGAGATACAGATACAGATACAAAGATGCTGCTGCAGTTGCATTCACAGCTAAGCATCACACTAAGCTGCCACACATGCCATTTAATGAAGTCAAGGATGACATTGTCGTAAATACATTTAACACAAACAAATACTAAGCTGTACACACACACACACACACACACACACCAGCTGCAGTTTACAGTTTTTAATTTCTATGTACCTTTGTCTTTTTGCATTCGTCTTTCCTGTGTATCAAATGTCAAATTCTATTTGCCTCTAGCTTTGTCTCTATCCCCTCTTCCTCCTTCCCTCTCCCTCCCTCTCTCTCTCTCTCTCTCTCTGTCTGTCTTTCATTAGAGCTTTGTCCGTCTCTGTCTAGCGCTGACCGTGACTAAAGGCCTAGAAAGTGAGTAGAAGCACAGCGCAGCCCCAGCTCGTGACAAGCGAAATGCCCCCAGCCCAGCCCGCCCCGTTTGCCAGGTCTGCCCCGAGCCTAGCTATAGAAGATATTCGCTTAAACAAAAGATTTACATGCGGGAAATATCAACATAGATATACAAACAGTTCCACCTAGTTAGATAAAGAAGTTTGCATAATTGCAACTGGTGGCAAGGCCTGTTTAATTCGTCTTCTCGTTTCGCTCTGTGCATAAGATAAGAACTCAACGAAATATGAAAATATAATATTTGCCATTGCAATGGCTTAACCTGACTTTTCAGCTATTTGTCAACGTTCGAATCGGTTTCGTTGTGCACATATAGAAAGATATGTTATATAGAGAGTCAGCTCAGTCTGCTTTGGCTGACAGATTCGTAAACGTTTCAGGTTTGCCTAAAGTCTCTCTATGGACAGCTCCAGCCAAAGGTGTTAACTTGTCGTTGTTGTTGTTGATTCTGTGTGCTTGTTATATATTTCACATAGTTTGGCCTAAGAAGAGAAAAAATGTGAACAAGAGAACGATTCAATTAAGGCAAATGAACTGATCGAAATCTCTTGCCAAAGGTATTTATACAAATGTTTTTTGCGCACAATGCGAATTTCCATTTACTTTTGACGCTTTGCACAAAATATCGATGCATAAAATCGCTGAAAGAGTTTTCCTATCAATGCTGTGAAAAATTAAAGCGCACATTTAAAGAGATTCGAGTGAAAAGTTATCCATAATGACTGGAGCTAATGTCAGACTAGACCAGTTTTCCCCTTTTACTGGCATATTCGCTAACGTTTTATCTGACTAATCGTCTAACTGTTCAGTTACTTCTGCTATTTTCGTTTTCTTTTGTGCTACGTTCGCAAACGTTTTTGTTACTTTGACTTCTGCTGTTACAGTCAGAGTCAAAGCAGGAGTTGACTTGCCTTTGTTCTGTTCTTCAGCTCGAATCTGAGCTAGTGCTTTATAGATGATAGCTGATGGAAATAGATCCATTTATATATGTTCATATGTAGAATAACTTAATGTTAAGTAATCTTTAATGAGTCACAATTGGGCAATAACATTTGCAGTTGCATAATACAAAAAGCTGAGCATTTGGCATAAAAGAGAGGCAAAGTCAAGTGCAAGTCAAGTGTAAGGTGTATGTGTGTGTGTGTGTGTGTGTGTGTGTAGCATTCTCTTAGTTCTAAGTTAAGATGTTTGTGCAAATTAATTTGTCGCTGGCATCATTATTACAAAAGCGACAAACAATTAGCCTAGATTTGTGCACGCCTTTCGATTGACTCGAAAGATAACTAGCGTCTGTCCCTCTGTGTGTGTGTGTGTGTGTGTGTGGGTGGGTGTCTGTCTGTGTGTGCATTATGTGGTCCCTGATCTGGCGCCAATCTGTGCAGCTGCTGCCGCTGCTGCTGCTTGTTGTTGTCACCGCTCACGGCTTTTGCAATTGAGCAGCCATTAAATGCGGATGCCATTTACTGATTGAAATTAATTGTAGACCAACTCAAATGTGTGTGTATGTGTGTGTGTGTGCGTGTGTGCCTTGTAGTCTCATTGATTGCTATTCAGATTTGCAATTGGCTTTCAATTATTTAAGTTTTGTCTTCTCTTTCTTCACTTGGCCACGCTTGGCCCAAACTTACCCCGATAATTCCAGCCACGCGCCTCCGTGCCATGCCCCGCTATGAGGGCGGCACCAAGCAGCGCCCACAGCAGCCAGCTGGCCACCAGGGGCTGCAGTAGCCTGGCCATGGATCCGTTCGCTTGTCTCCCGCTCGCTCGTGGCGCACAGCAAGGCAAGAGCAGCGCTTGTTGACGCTAGTGACAAACGCTGGCAGCTGCAAGAGATTGTCCAGCCTGTCTATAGCTCTATAGGTATGCAGTTATTTTTTCTGTTCGCGTTTTTCTGATAGCTCTTGGAGTGGCCTATGGAGACGTCAAGTAAATATTGTGTAACCAGCCCTCGATAATCACCTCGCGCTGCTTTGTCCCCCTTTAACGCCTAGTGCCATGCTAGTTCGCGCTCACGCACACACACACACACACACATACATACATATATATACATAGTTGAGCTGCTGCCTGCTGCGCTGTGCATAAAGCTCACAGCGGGGCGGCCATTGGAGCCGTTGCGTGGACAGTGGAAAGGCTTCCGGTCAAAGACAAAGCATTAACACCCAGAGCAACAAACCGCACAGGACGCACAAGCCCAAACACTCACATTCACACACGCACACTCGTACACACACACAAAAGGATATTTTCACAAACATTTCCGTTACAAATGAAAAGCAATGAAGAGCCAACCGCCACGCCCCCGCCAACACTTCCGCCTTTGTCTATGCGAGTAAAAAAGACTGTATAAAAGGCCAACCGAGAACGAACTCAGAAAGCGAGACATAGGACACACACTGGGCAAGGAAATATAGCGACAGAGCGTCAGAGCGAGAGAGCGACGGAGCCACAGAGAAAGAGAACCATAGAGAGCGAGACAGAGAAAGAACATATAAAATGTTGTTTAATTTTAAATAACGAAATATTTTCATAAAAAGGCAAAAGAAAACCCAAATTAAATGGCAAATAGAAAATAAAGATACGAAGAAGAAGCATAACACAAAATTATGTCTTTCTCTCACTCTCTTACTCTCTTCCTCTATCTCTATCTCTCTCTCTCTGTCTCTCTCTCCTTCTGTCTGCTCATCAACATTCAATTGTTCAATTGTTGTCGACAGTCGCATCAAAATTTTCAAATTCCTTTCTAAATTTCATTAGTCAGAAACGTTGGGGGGCACAAAGGATTCTCTCACTGAGCAATTGTCAAAGGTTACCAAATGGCACGCAAACACCAATCCTATTTGACTATCAAAAGACAACAAAGCCATGCACAGAGCGCGTACAGCACTTGACACGAGCTCGAATCGCACATTGACAAGAAATATTCCTGAAACTAGAACGACTTTTCCTGCTTTATAGTTGCAGGAAATACTTCAGATTCTCGACTTTCTAGTAGCTAAAGACTTTAAGTCAATCAGCCAGTCAGTCAGGCAGTCAGGCAATCACTCAGACAGTCAATCAATTATGCATTATGTCAATCATGTGTATTAGTTAGATTGCATCAAGCAGCCAATCAATCAGTCGAGCTTTATATTTAGAATGCGCATTAATCAATCAGTCCATCAATCATGTAATATATTTACATTGGACATCAAACATATACTATATTTAGGCTGCTTTCAGTAAGTCTATCAATCAGTCTACCAATCAAGTGCCATCTTTCAGTTCTTCATCAATCAATCAAGCAGTCAATCAGTTATTAAAAAGAGTATTACTTTAGGCATCTGCGCCTTGCAGTTAAACAATAGATTAGTCTATCAATCAAGTTCTATCTTTCAGTTCTTCATCAATCAATCAATCAATAACCTGTTCAAATCAACCGTGGCATCTTTCACTTAATCTATCAGCGTATCAATTATGTACTATGTTTCACTTCTTCATCAATCAATCAGCTTTGATATGTTAACTCTTGGATCTGAACTAAGAGAAAATTAATTTCTTGATTCGACTTTTCAAAAATATTTCATATTCTTGCAATTTGAATGTTTTCAATTGCAATTCAATGTATTCCTCTTTGTTCATAATGCTTTAAATGCTTTTAATGAATTTTATTCAATTTTTGTTTTAAATTTCACACATGTCTTTTGTTTTGTGCATAAAAAATTGTTCTTAGCCCAATTCATAAAATTCCATTCAATACAATTCTTTGCTACGGCGGTTCACATGACTTCTAAGTGTCGCGCTCTATTTTCCCCTCTCTCTCTCTCTATCTCGCTTTATCCCTTTCTCGCTCTTTCTGCTCTGTCTGTTCACAATTTGTGCAAATATGGCATAAAATTTTGCGCATAAATTACAACAAATTGCGCGAATTTTACAGCAAAAAAAAAAAGAAAAAATAAATAAAAATCGCGATTTTATGAACTTGAACTTGAATAAGCCAAACGCTAAACCAAACGCACTCACACAAACACACACACACACACACCATGTGCAAGTGTGTGTGACGTATGGGCGTGGCAGGCAGGCGTTTTGGCTTTTGACTTTTTGACCAGTTGCCAGTGCGAAAAAGCATCAAATGTTTGAATGTTTGAATGAATATTTGAATGCGTCGAATGCTTTGAATGCTGTGTGTGACGTGAAAGAGATAGTTGTTGTTGTTGTTGTTGTTGTTGCTGTTGCTGCTGCTGGGTATCAGTATCTATGAGATACGCGTAAAAGCTTTGTAGTTTATGCGGCGTTTTGGCAAGCTGCCTGCCTGCATATCTATTCGCATACATACATATATATTTATATATCTATTCATCTATATGTCTACTGTATACATATAAATATGAAAACAACATTAAATGAGATACAACAAAAAGCAGTTGCCGTTATTTGTTGCTGCTGTTGCCGTGCATGTTTCAATTAGTTAAACATTAAAGGAATGCTTTTAGCTGTGGCCCGACTATTAAGTGGACAACGGAGCGCGGCTGCTGCGCACAATTTTCTTTATCTATTTTTTTGTGTGTGTTTTTTTGGCTTACTCAACATGTTACGCATAGTAATTGGCAATACACAGAATTGCAACACAATGGTGCAGCAAACTGGCTGCCGCAAGCTGCATTTGTTGGCCGCATGCCTCCTGGTTGGGGCTACACAAAATGTATTTGGCCAAACAATTAGTTAAGACGCTCCAACGGCTCTCGGTCAACCTACTACACCTGACTACACTTCATTTGATTGTGTATGCCGTGCAACGCCGTCTAATTGCAGTTTTTGGCAAGCCAAAAAAGATTTCGAAGATTTGCTCTGAGCCACTTAAACTTCATTTCGAGAAAAGCCAGAATGAGCAGGTTTTGTGATCTCTAAGATCTCTCGACTCTTGGCTACACAAGGGAACAACTGCAACTGCCATAGTACCTTCATTTATAGAGCTGTCAGCAGAAGTCATACAAAATTTCATTTGAATTGGAATCAGTCGTAATTCTCATAGCAAAAGCTTAAGCTTTGAATCTACATAAAGTTTCCGATATTTCTGATATTTTTATTGGATCTGCATAAAATTTCAAATGAAAATATATTTAAGTAAAAAACGTTGTTTTAGTAAAAATTCTTATACATATTGAATGGAGCTACTATAACCGACATTTACTCTAGCAACTAACAACTCTTTGGCTTTAGCTTGGGGCATTTGGGCTTCCAAGCCTTTCGCCTTTCGCCTTTCGCCTTGCCGTATGAAATTTGTTTACAAAAAATCATCTATTCAAGTCGCCAGCACGAGCTGCCTTTCAGCCTCTGCTTTCCTTCTGCTTCATCATCTCTTTTTTTGTGGCAAGTAATGAAGCGTGTGTGTGGGTGTGTGTATAACTTAGCATATATAATTTGTATATTAAGATCTCATCATTAAAAAGTTGACTAAGCGTTCGCTTTTTGGCGCTTGAAAAGTGATTAAAATTAATGAGGCATAATGTGGGGCAGGAGCGGCTGGTCCGCTCCTCTCGCAGTGCAATTTGAATGCTCACTAAGCGACAGGCAGGCTGCTTCTACGCTCTGCCATTCCATTCAAATGCTGGCCAAGGCCTGGGAAACCCAAGCAGAGTCTTCGAATTGCAATCTTTTCACACAAGCAACACGATCCCCTCAACAACAACAGCAATTTCTGAAATGTTCAAAATGCAAATGCTGCAAAATGAAATGTATAAAAAAAACTGTTTCACAGCTGCTTGGCGAGTAATTTTTTGGAATTCTCAATTGAAAAACCGAAAACCGAAATCCGAAATTCGAAATCCGTAAAAGGCAGCAACAAAAATAGTTTTATTCAAATATATATATATAGATATATATTTTGTTTTCGGCTTGGGCCTGTTTTTGGGCCTGTTATTTATACGATTTGTCGCCACCCTCTCCAAATGCAGCAATAAAAGGGAGCGAGGGAGAGCGACAGAGAGAGGAAGAGAGTGAGAGAGGGGGAGGGAAGGTGAATAAGGAGCAGCTAGGAAAAGTGCGCTGCGGTGTTTTTCTTTAGATTTTCTCGGCAATTTGTCAGGCTGCACAACTTTCGACACTAATCGTTGTTGCTGTTGTTGTTGTTGTTGTTGTTGCTATTTCTATCTTTGTACCTGGCAGATACAAAAGATGCACGAGCCGCGATCAGTGCCAGAAACGTTTAGTGTCCGCAAGCAGATTTATTGAATT